AATATGGCTCTGCTAAAAACACTCACTCTTACACGCACCAAAGTTATATTTATCTAATATTTAACTCCCTCCACCCCCGCATACAATCCCGTTTAGAAGCCCCTCTTCTCTAATTCAACAACGTTGGACCAAATGACATTAAGAGAACGGAATTTACAATTAAAAGGTTGTTCAACGTCTGTTGCTAACTTGCTTCGGTATCCTAGCTTGATCTGTTATCTGTAAACGTTCCCTAAATCTACTGATTTAGGGATAATCCACTGACATCCTTTAATACACATGTTCAATTGAATCAGATGTACTGATAATATCCGCAATATAAATCTTTAAACTTCTTCTTACCTTTAAAAGTCCGTCACGAACGGTTATTATGCTGCAACTCTACCGCTCTGCTAGCCTTGGCGCTAACTTCCGGGGAACGAATGAGAGGCTCCACGATCCGCCATTGCTGTAAAAAAAGTGGTCCATTGGAATGAACGGAGATGTCATAACTCTTCTATTATACGGCTCTGGACGTACCGTAAGAGTTAGACCTAACACACTTAGCTATTTTATCTACCTCTGGAACAAGCTAAACTAGTTATTATAAATATATTGATTCTTCATTGTCGGGTCACTCATTACTGGATCAGTGAGCTGCATGAGATACTGACAGGCTGTCAGGAGAGAGAGAGAGAGAGAGAGAGAGAGAGAGAGAGAGAGAGAGAGAGAGAGAGAGAGAGAGAGAGAGAGAGAGAGAGAGAGAGAGAGGAAAAGAGAGCGCTTCCGCTCATTTCTCCCGTGTTATTCTCCAAAGTGAATGTAAACTTGAATAATGTACATCATTTGAATGTAATAATTAAGTTGATTGTTGTTTGTGGAAGCTCCAGTGAATGAGCATTAACTGAGTTTTAAACATCACTTTAAATGGAAGATTTAAAGTGATGTTTAAATCTTCCATTTAGGCCCCGCCCACTCGATCGGATCGGCGATCGGTATCGGCCGATACTGATTCCGGCCCCGAAATTGGCGATCGGAGCATCCCTAACAAGAAGTATTCCAAGTTATTTAAATGACACCTGAACATCAACAGGAGAGGACTCTTTAAAGTACAGACACTACAGTACATACTGATATACCTGAACATCAGCAGAAGAGGACTCTTTAAAGTAGAGACACTACATACTGATATACACCTGAACATCAGCAGGAGAGGACTCTTTAAAGTAGAGACACTACATACAGATATACACCTGAACATCAGCAGAAGAGGACTCTTTAAAGTAGAGACACTACATACTGATATACACCTGAACATTAGCAGGAGAGGACTCTTTAAAGTAGAGACGCTACATACTGATATACACCTGAACATCAGCAGGAGAGGACTCTTTAAAGTAGAGACACTACATACTGATATACACCTGAACATCAGCAGGAGAGGACTCTTTAAAGTAGAGACACTACATACTGATATCCACCTGAACATCAGCAGGAGAGGACTCTTTAAAGTAGAGACACTACACACTGATATACACCTGAACATCAGCAGGAGAGGACTCTTTAAAGTAGAGACACTACATACTGATATACACCTGAACATCAGCAGGAGAGGACTCTTTAAAGTAGATACGCTACATACTGATATACACCTGAACATCAGCAGGAGAGGACTCTTTAAAGTAGAGACACTACACACTGATATACACCTGAACATCAGCAGGAGAGGACTCTTTAAAGTAGAGACACTACACACTGATATACACCTGAACATCAGCAGGAGAGGACTCTTTAGAGTAGAGACACTACATACTGATATACACCTGAACATCAGCAGGAGAGGACTCTTTAGAGTAGAGAGACTACATACTAATATAAACCTGAACATCAGCAGGAGAGGACTCTTTAGAGTAGAGACACTACATACTGATATACACCTGAACATGAGCAGGAGAGGACTCTTTAAAGTAGAGACACTACATACTGATATACACCTGAACATCAGCAGGAGAGGACTCTTTAGAGTAGAGACACTACATACTGATATACACCTGAACATCAGCAGGAGAGGACTCTTTAGAGTAGGATAACATTTAAACCAGTTCAGTACAGAGCTACTAAAGTCCTGCCCAGTTTTTCCAGTCAAACTAATTATTTAATGGAAGACAGTGTCTAATGCAGCACGGACCTATAAACATGAAGGGAAACCGGTTTTAATAATTGACGTGGATAATTTTTGCGTCCTGGTGAAAACCAATATACACACACTGTAAAAAATGCTGCTCCAAAAGCAAGTAAATATATAATAAAAACAAGGTGTTTTCGCTTTTAATAAGTGCACAAGTCTTCCAATTGAACAAAATGGCTTCAGTAAAGATGGGATAATTAAATTAATTAGATCTTATATTTAGCTGGGAAAACTTATTTTGAACTATATTTGACCAGAATTAGGGAATTTCTAACAAAAAAAGCCAGCAATGCTTAGACATTTTCTGTTTTCTGATGTTAGTTGGAGATGTTCCTATAAAATAAGATGTTTTTAAGAGACTTTGACTTAAAAAGATGCTTAAGATGCCTGGTCTAAATACATCAAGTGTAACGACATATTCTGACTAGAAATTAGATAAATATACTTGGCAAGATTTTACATTTTTGCAGCGCATGTCGAGACACGAGTGCCAAACCGGTAACATCAACTGCTACTGAAACAACAGTCTGTTCTCTGAGCCAAATGCTAACATCAGCATGCTACAAAGTCACTATTCAAATATTAAAGGATCATTTATTGTTGTTCTGCAACACAGGCTTTACACGCTAGAAACACATGAAGTGAGTTTGGTTTTGCATGGGGAAAACGAACAGTGGCTATTTAAACATTGGGGACTTCACATCGGCCTCCTTCTAAACATAAGAAGTTTGACATCAGGGACTTTTTATTTACAGTAGTCTTTAAGAACAAATGTTAAAGGAGCAGAATAGGAAGAAATACAGTGCATTAAAAATGTTTTTCCCTACAGTGCAGGCTCCAAAATAAGCTCACTTTATGGCTCGATTCTGCCCAACTTGTGTTTTATTGCGACATTTTATGTTGTTTTATATGTTTTGGTAAGTCATAATACTCAAATACGTAGAATTGTTAAATGCATGCTATAAGTAGGATCCTTAATCCTTAATTATGCGAGTACCATTTAGCATTTTAACAATACAATTAAATACAAGGCGGTTTTGTTTGGCTGATACCCCTCCATTCAGTTTCAGTTTGGATCTTCGAAGGGAACACGTTTAGGCCCTTCTGCTGTTTGTTACTGTTGCGTGAAGAGGAGATTGAACTCGGGTCCACTGTTATGCAAATATTCAGCAGGCATTATGTTCGCCATGTTTACCACCTAGTATTTGCTCACTAAACTCAAAGTAGACAAGGCTGATAGTATTGGAAGCATTAACATGTTGAAAAGCTTTGAAGCCTCTATATATATATAGATAATAGAGACACTGATCCTCTGATACAAGCGCTTGTATTTGCAGTTTTACCATCTCTGTCTGTGGCTTGAGTCAGATTTGAAAACACATCCTTTAAAAATTGTCTTTGCAAAGAGAATGAAATGGAGATCTTTGAGACTTAAAGGATTACCAAAGTAAATGTTATTCATCCTCTGGGGACCATGACCTAAAGTTACAGGAGAAGGACCATAGTAGGGCCTCTCTGTTGTTTCCCTCTTGGTCCTTTGTTTGTCTTTGCGTATTGTTTCAGGGATTTTGATTATGTGTGTGATTATCTGGTCATATCACCAGGGACCATGTTTGAAATACGTTTTTAAATGTTATGCCTTTCTTTGTCTTGTGTTTTATATATTTTACAATCAATCACCCCTCTGTAAAACAGGAATATCTTGTTCAGTAATTAGTAAAAGCTTGTTAAGTAAGTTTGTTTCAGTCAGCGGTGGAAGAAATACTCAAATCATTAAGTAAAAGAAGCAAAAATAACAGGGTACAAATACTCAGTTACAAGTTAAAGTCCAACACTAAAAATGGTAAAAGTAAAAGTAATATTTTAAGCAGCAGATATTTAAAAGAAAGTTTGAAATGATTCGTACATTTATGTATTCATCACTTTATTGTTGCACTTTAATTGTTTGATATATTACTGGGTAGCTTAACCTATAATACTTTATTATATATGTGTCAATTAAGATGTAGAGTAACTGCAAATAAATCTACAAAATTACTAGTAACTTCGACCACACGGAGACGAATTCGATATAAAAAAATCTTCCGTCCACACGGCTCAAGAAACGTGTCCGTCCACACGGAAACGCTCGACCCGCTGGAGACGCTGTAGTACATATGCCGGGCCTGTAAGTGGCGCTGTACTTCCGCCACAAAATACACCAAAATCAGCGAATAAGACCCCGCGAGCATGGTTGCCATGGTTGCCTGGTTGCCCTTCTGTTTATTCTCCGCGGTGGATTTAGCAACATGTAGTTCATGTAGTTCTCCATGTCCACTTGCTGCTGATGGTGGTGGTAGAGGAGCTGTAGATGTTGCTCTAACATCTGTATCATGGTCAGTAGCGTCTGGAGCAGGAACGCAACCCTGTGATCCGCCATTGTTGTTGTTGTTGTTGTTGAAACACATCAGCAATGACGCGGGTGACGCGGGGGTGAGCAACAGAGGTGGGGAGAGGTCGTATCTACCCTCTTTTACTTTGCTGTTTATTATATTGTCATATTCAGAGTTGGGAGAAGTACTCAGATCTTGTACTTGAGTAAAAGTATAGGTTCATACGTCCGTAAAATAAAGTAAGTACAAATCAAAGAAAAACAAAGTAAGGGGAAAGTGAACCTATACAAGTGAAGTATCAGCCAGTAATACAATACACCCAGCAGCAGTATTATTTCACAATGACTAACTTAGAAAACATGAATGAAAAAAACAAAGCATGACTCATTTTAAGAACCATGTCATGTTACTGTCATGTAAAGCTAACCGGCTGTTCCACATGTTTTAGATTCCTGTCTCACCTGGGCCACAGCTTCCTGTCCTCTCCGCTGGAAACACGTCCTCCATACGTCTCACAATCCAGCTGAGGATAGCTCAGGTGTTTCCTGCCGTCTCTGGCTGTGTGTCTGTCCTCCATGTGATCAGATCAGTGTTTCCCTCAGTGTCTGACCGCTCTGAGAGTACTTCAGCTCTCCCTCCCCGCCTTCCTCCTCCTCCTCCTCCTCCTCTCACTGGCAGGACAAACAGGTACGACTTGTTGAAACAAAACCCAGAAAGAGAAGCTGCTCGTGATTTACATGGTTTCACAGAGAGCAAGAACATTTCAATATTTCCCCAGTAGAGGACAGGAAGCTCTGCCGTATATCAGAGAGGGCAGAATACACACATCTTTACTCAAGTAGAAGTACAGATACTGGTGTTTAAAAATACTCTGGTAAAAGTAGAAGTACTGACTAAACTTCTTTACTCAAGTCAAAGTAAAGAGGCTTTGAAATATACTTCAGTAAAAAGTACCCATAACTAGCAGCTGCTTTAAAGAGTACCTGACCTCCCTTTATATCAATAGAACAATAATGTCATTGTTAGCTAATGAATGTTTCCATGCTGAACAACGGCAACATGACAACGTTTCCATTGGTCCCTCTTCTTTAGAGAAGACCAGGAAATGATGGATACACGGATCGTGTTCAAATCAATAGGCACGCAATGACTCTAAAGATAATGATCACGCATCAAACACACATTCAGACTAAAGGAACCAGCTGTTTGGGAAATGAGAGAAGTAGAAAGTACAGGTATTTGAGTTCAACATGTAAGAAGTAGAAAGTACAGGTATTTGTGTTCAACATGTAAGAAGTAGAAAGTACAGGTATTTGAGTTCAACATGTAGAAGTAGAAAGTACAGGTATTTGTGTTCAACATGTGAGAAGTAGAAAGTACAGGTATTTGAGTTCAACATGTAAGAAGTAGAAAGTACAGGGTATTTGAGTTCAACATGTGAGAAGTAGAAAGTACAGGTATTTGTGTTCAACATGTAAGAAGTAGAAAGTACATGTATTTGAGTTCAACATGTAAGAAGTAGAAAGTACAGGTATTTGAGTTCAACATGTAAGAAGTAGAAAGTACAGGTATTTGAGTTCAACATGTAAGAAGTAGAAAGTACAGGTATTTGTGTTCAACATGTAAGAAGTAGAAAGTACAGGTATTTGGGGTTCAACATGTAAGAAGTAGAAAGTACAGGTATTTGAGTTCAACATGTAAGAAGTAGAAAGTACAGGTATTTGAGTTCAACATGTGAGAAGTAGAAGTACAGGTATTTGAGTTCAACATGTAAGAAGTAGAAAGTACAGGTATTTGAGTTCAACATGTAAGAAGTAGAAAGTACAGGTATTTGTGTTCAACATGTAAGAAGTAGAAAGTACAGGTATTTGGGTTCAACATGTAAGAAGTAGAAAGTACAGGTATTTGAGTTCAACATGTGAGAAGTAGAAAGTACAGGTATTTGAGTTCAACATGTAAGAAGTAGAAAGTACAGGTATTTGAGTTCAACATGTAAGAAGTAGAAAGTACAGGTATTTGAGTTCAACATGTAAGAAGTAGAAAGTACAGGTATTTGTGTTCAACATGTAAGAAGTAGAAAGTACAGGTATTTGAGTTCAACATGTAAGAAGTAGAAAGTACAGGTATTTGAGTTCAAAGTGTAAGAAGTAGAAAGTACAGGTATTTGTGTTCAACATGTAAGAAGTAGAAAGTACAGGTATTTGAGTTCAACATGTAAGAAGTAGAAAGTACAGGTATTTGAGTTCAACATGTGAGAAGTAGAAAGTACAGGTATTTGAGTTCAACATGTAAGAAGTAGAAAGTACAGGTATTTGTGTTCAACATGTAAGAAGTAGAAAGTACAGGTATTTGGGTTCACATGTGAGAAGTAGAAAGTACAGGTATTTGAGTTCAACATGTGAGAAGTAGAAAGTACAGGTATTTGAGTTCAACATGTAAGAAGTAGAAAGTACAGGTATTTGAGTTCAACATGTAAGAAGTAGAAAGTACAGGTATTTGTGTTCAACATGTAAGAAGTAGAAGTACAGGTATTTGAGTTCAACATGTAAGAAGTAGAAAGTACAGGTATTTGGGTTCAACATGTAAGAAGTAGAAAGTACAGGTATTTGAGTTCAACATGTAAGAAGTAGAAAGTACAGGTATTTGGGGTTCAACATGTAAGAAGTAGAAAGTACAGGTATTTGAGTTCAACATGTAAGAAGTAGAAAGTACAGGTATTTTGGGTTCAACATGTAAGAAGTAGAAAGTACAGGTATTTGAGTTCAACATGTGAAGAAGTAGAAAGTACAGGTATTTGAGTTCAACATGTAAGAAGTAGAAAGTACAGGTATTTGAGTTCAACATGTAAGAAGTAGAAAGTACAGGTATTTGAGTTCAACATGTAAGAAGTAGAAAGTACAGGTATTGAGTTCAACATGTAAGAAGTAGAAAGTACAGGTATTTGAGTTCAACATGTAAGAAGTAGAAAGTACAGGTATTTGAGTTCAACATGTGAGAAGTAGAAAGTACAGGTATTTGAGTTCAACATGTGAGAAGTAGAAAGTACAGGTATTTGAGTTCAACATGTAGAAGTAGAAAGTACAGGTATTTGTGTCAACATGTGAGAAGTAGAAAGTACAGGTATTTGAGTCAACATGTGAGAAGTAGAAAGTACAGGTATTTGAGTTCACATGTGAGAAGTAGAAAGTACAGGTATTTGAGTTCAACATGTAAGAAGTAGAAAGTACAGGTATTTGGGTTCAACATGTAAGAAGTAGAAAGTACAGGTATTTGTGTTCAACATGTAAGAAGTAGAAAGTACAGGTATTTGAGTTCAACATGTGAGAAGTAGAAAGTACAGGTATTTGAGTTCAACATGTAAGAAGTAGAAAGTACAGGTATTTGTGTTCAACATGTAGAAGTAGAAAGTACAGGTATTTGAGTTCAACATGTGAGAAGTAGAAAGTACAGGTATTTGAGTTCAACATGTAAGAAGTAGAAAGTACAGGTATTTGGGTTCAACATGTAAGAAGTAGAAAGTACAGGTATTTGTGTTCAACATGTAAGAAGTAGAAAGTACAGGTATTTGAGTTCAACATGTGAGAAGTAGAAAGTTACAGGTATTTGAGTTCAACATTAAGAAGTAGAAAGTACAGGTATTTGGGTTCAACATGTAAGAAGTAGAAAGTACAGGTATGTTTGTGTTCAACATGTGAGAAGTAGAAAGTAAGCAGGTATTTGAGTTAACATGTCAAGAAGTAGAAAGTACAGGTATTTGAGTTCAACATGTAAGAAGTAGAAAGTAGCAGGTATGTGAGTTCAACATGTAAGAAGTATAAAAGTACAAGGTATTTGGGTTCAACATAGGTAGAAGTAGAAAGTACAGGTATTTGTGTTCAGCATGTGAGAAGTAGAAAGTACAGGCAGTGTTTCCCAACAGATAAGAAATATACGTTGGGCGGGTGGGGTGGCAGGGGGGGGGGTGGGGGGTGCGCGAAAAAAAAAAGAAAGTTTTAAAACAAACATTATTTAGTTGACTTTTCAGTCCGGTGCCTGCGGGGAGTGCATTTGTGCGCACAAGATGGCACTGGTTTGTCAGAGCACTTGCATCCTTCTGGGATTCATGAAGAACAGATCCAACGCCTGTGTGTATGGGAATGCCTCTGTGTGCTTGGTCCATTAACTGCCAGTGTTTCCCACAGATCTGAAATATACTTTGGGGGTGGTGGTAGCGGGGGGGGGGGGGTTGAGGTGACGTGCAACAACATTAACCTTTCTGGTTGGTCGCTTGTTAGCAGACCCCTTCACGCGATGGCAGAGCGAACAGGTCCAGGTACAGGCAGGGTCCATAATGATAGCCCTATAGTTTAAAATCTACTACCCACACATGAACATATGGAAATGGGTTACTATTTTAAAAAATAAATGTATTTATTAATGTATTTAGGAACCTATCCATGTGATTTTTAGTGGGGGTCGACCTCAAATCCTCTAGGGGGGTCCAGGGGCATGCCCCCCGGTAAGATTTTATTTTTTATTTTGGAGTTAAATGCATCAATCTGGTGCATTTTGAGGGGAAAATAAAGAGACTAGATCTAGGGAAACACCTATATTAAACAGAACTGTTACATTTCAATAATCATAAAATCAAGGCCATAACCAATAACATAACATTTCCAATATGAAAAAAACACTGAAACTTGTTTATTAATTTAGTTTTGGTTCATTTATAGTTGTGAGTGGTGTCTGTGCTCCTGAATATCAGCCTCTCCTGTCCTCCTGCTCCCTCCTCTCCCCCCTCTCCATCCTCTCCCCCTGCTCCTCTTGATGCAGCAGCAAAGACTAGTTTTCTCTCAAACACGTTTTAAAAAGTGTATCTTACCTTTTTTCACCTAGTTAACTTTTATTTATTATTCATGCATATTTACTAATCACATTACATTTCATTTAGCTGACCGCTTTATTCCAAAGCGACTTATAATGACCGATTACAGGGACATTCTCCCTGGAGTAACTAAGGGCCTTACTCAAGGGCACACTAGTGGTGGTGTTCCTGGCGGGATTTGAACTCAACAGCCTTCCGATCTTCAGCCCACCTCACTATCCATTAGACCAATCACTACCCTCTCAAATGGAAATATGTGTTTTACATAAATGGTGACCACACAGTTTGAGACCCACTGAGAACTTAGACTGAGTTA